GCTCTGCAGCCTGGAGAAAAGAAGGCTCTGAGAAGACTTCATTGTGGCCTTCTAGTGCCTGAAGGGAGCCTACAGGAAAGCTGGGGAAGCACTTATAAGGTATACTTCTCACATGTAGTGAGAAGATGAGAGGAAATGGTTTTAAACTGGAAGAGGGTAGATTTAGACTAGATATTAGGAAGAAATTCTTTACTGTGAGAGTGGCGAGACTGAAACAGATTGCCCAGCGAGATTGTGGATGCTCCCTCCCTGGAAGCATTCAAGGACAGGTTGGATGGGCTGTGAGCAACCTGGTCTAGAGGGAGATGTCCCTGCCTATAGAAGGAGAGTTGGATCTAAGTGATCTTAAAGATCCCTACCAACCATTCTATTATTCTAAGATTCTGAGTCTGGAGGAAGTTTTGATCTGCTTGAGGGTAGTAAGGCCCTAAAGAGGGATCTGGACAGCCTGGATAAATGTGCTGAAGCTGTTGAGATGAAGTTCAACAAGATCAAATGTCAAGTCATCCAGCTCGGTCACAACAATTCTGTGCAACCCTACAGGCTTGGATCAGAGTGGCTGCAAAGCTGCCTGGAGGAAAAGGTTCTGAGGCTGTTTGTCAGTACTCAGCTCAACATGAACCAGCAGCATGCCCAGTTGGCCAAGGCCTGACTTGTGTAAGAAACAGTGCAACCAGCACGAGTAAGGAGGTGGTCATTTCCCTGTACTCAGCACTGGTAAGGCTGCACCATCAGTACTGTGTTCAGTTTTGGGTAGGACAAGAGAAGAAGGCCTCAAGATGTACCAGGGGAAGTTCAGATTGGATATTAGGAAGAACTTCTCAGAAATAGTTAGGCACTGGAACAGGCTGCCCATGGATGTGGTGGAGTCACTGTCTCTGGAGGTGTTCAAGAAATGTTTAGATGTAGTACACAGGGACATGTTTTAGTGGGCAATTTTAGTGGTAGGTGGATAGCTGGACTAGATCTTAGAGGTTTTTACCTGCCTCAGTGACTCTATGATTTTATGTCAAGTACACTCAGAGAAAAAAGGACAATCACAAATTTTAGCCTTGAACTGTAGTCTTTATCTTTAAATCTGAGCCTCATATTAAACTCAATGAGCAGCCTGTTTTTTAAACTTAATATAGACTGCTTACTCATGCAAATTACAATACCCCAAGTGGAGCATTCCATTACAGTAATTGCATTTACAAACGATGTGAACGTGCCTAAGCATTGTGGGAAATGGGTTTTCCTCTTCCTTCATTAATCTTAACATTCAAGGCTCTGTTGAGATGAAAGGTCTGTTTACACCTCAAGCTCTCCCTAACAGCCCTCCATCAATACATGCTGCAGAGGAGTGGGCATTCACAGTGATTCTCCAGTTACCATCCCTGGTGTGGTTGTTCATGTCTAACTGATAAGTGAATATAAAATGCTCTCAAGTGAAAGGGGAACATTTTACACTTCTTTTGTTCTCAGAGTAATTGTTTAAGAAGAATGACAGCATCAATATACAGCTGTAGTTAACAAACAATTAATTTGCAGGAGGGAGGTGCATCAAGAGGTGAAGAGGGCTGCAAAACAAACTGAGATTATAGCATTCCCCATCATCTTTCTACTAATATTTATTTTTGAAAATTAAAAATCTCTATGCAAATGCATGTAGCTACATAGAGAAAATCACCTTATAGGCCAATTTACTGCCTCCATATCTTTCTGATATGAAAACTAACAATCATCCAATAAATAGGAAGATGGGAGTTTAGGTTAACAGGAGGAAAATACCACATCAAGAAGAAAGTATTTTTGAGTCAGAAAATGTAATATATGGAATTTAGACATTTTTTCATCACTTAGTCTTCATGGCATATTCTGGAGCCATGATAAAGATGTTATGGCCAAAAAGCAAGATCTAGGAAGAACTCTTTCACCCCTGAGATAAAAGAGCAATTCCAGTAAATAGTGTCGTAGACAACATAAAAATGCAGGAAAAATATGGGAGCAATTTAATAACCTACATCACACTGATAGAATTGTATATCATAAATTCATGAAGGTTGGAAAAGACCACTAAGTTCATCTAGTCCAACTGTCAACCCATCCCTACTGTGCCCAATAAGCCATGTCTCTCAGTACCACATCTAAAAGTTTCTTGAACATCTCCATGGTGCCTACCCCACTTTGCTGAACAGTCTTTTCCAATGCCTCGCCATTATTTCTGAGAATAAATTTTTCCTAACATCCAGTCTGAACCTTCCCTGGCACAACTTAAAGCCATTACCTCTCATCCTATGTAACCAGGGAGAAGAGTTGACTCCCACCTCACTACAACATCCTTTCAGGGTGTTGTAGAGAGCAATAAGTCTCCCCTCACCCTCTTCTTCTCCAGATTGGACAATCCTAATATATTTTTGGGAGAGTCTGCTAAGGCATTTGCAGCAGAAAAATAAGCAGATAGAAAGTTCCTTGCCTTTACAAAGTGAGTAAAATCTCCAAAAAGAGACATGATTTGATCTCAGAAGTCCTGCATTCTCATCACCTCCTACCACCAAACCAAAAGGGACACAGAATGCTTGCAAATTAAAAGAAAATATTAGGAACCATTAAGACTAATCTTCAAAAAGATTATGTAGAATTGTGATGGCAAGTGCATGGAAAGCCACACATGGTTTTAAGCAGCCTATAACTTAATGGCATATTTCCTCTAAGGACAGCATTCTCTATGTGTTCCAGAGATGAAGCACTGTAACACGCTGAGCGGAGAGGTTGTGGATACCCCATTCTTGGAGACATTCAAGGTGAGGATATAGAAGTCACTGAGCAAGCTGATCTAGCTGTAGGTGTCACTCTTAATTGCGGGTAAGTTGGACTAAATGACTTTCAAGGGTCCCTTCCAATTTAAATGATTCTATGATTCTATGATTTATGCAGGGCTGTCTGAGCTGCATAAGCCTGGTTGTGACATTTTTAACAACCACAAGGGAATAGAAGAGACCTGCCTTCTGGCAGGGATGGTGGGGCCAGTTAGGGCATCAAGTAGTGGGATGTTTCTTGGTCAACAGTGGGAATTTGCAGCTCAAGTGCTTAAGGCTGCTGAGTAAGGTGCTGACTGCTGCTGGAGTATTGCTGTGAATCAGTGTTAAGAGCTGTTGAGAGGAAACTGTTCTTCATGTAAAGCTGTTCATAATCAGTTCAAAGAAGCTGCAAAATGAGCCTCCCCTAGGACAGTAGTTGAATGGATGTGGCACAGATGACATGAAGGGGACTGTTTGGTCAAGACACTCGATTTAGAAACACTGTGATTTCATTTCCAAAAAGGGAAAGCAATGCATTCAAATAAATTTCCGTCTGCCTTCTCCTCCTAGTCCCAGCTTCCCTTTCCTCCCAGACATTGGCAGCACTGACACAGAGAAAATACAACACTGGTGTGTCCGTTTGAATGAGACATTTGCTGTGGACTTTGAGGTGGAAGAGTCAAACTGATCTTTCCCACGTGCTGTCTCCATAGCCAAACCCAAATGAAGGCCTCTCTTCTTTCCCATACATGAGCACAGCCAAGGTACATAAAGCAGTATGCCAACAGAGCTTATAAATGTACTAGGAACCTCAGGTCAGACAGCGCTAGTACCTAAACAACCTCAGAGGGAGTTGTATGTGTGCAATGTATTCAAATACACCATTTACTTAGTTTCAATCAAATATTTCTCTCCAGGGTGTAAAGCATTAGGTAAAAGCTGCAGTAGTGCCTTGAGCACTCAGTTTCTCTAACATAAACCAGACCAGCCTCTTTGGGATTTTTCTAATTGACAGGAAAGTGATTAAACAGAGAGTGATGAGGCAGGAAGTGCCCTAGGTGTTAAATACTTAAAGCTGGTTTGTGCCATTGCATGTAAATGTAATCAATGCTCTGTATCATTATTTAAACACTATAATTAAATTTGGAAATTCAGGTGCTTAATGTTCCCTCTGGCTCACAGCCAGAAAAAATGTGGTCAAGGGAGAGTGGGCCAACAATCACCAAAACAGCTCAGATGCGTTTGGAGATTCGAGAAATTCCAATGTACTAATTGAAACCAGCGGCCTTAAAGAGAGGCCCAATCGATCTCAGGGAGATGAGTGAGTCCTGTTCCCTTTTTGTGCTCTTTTGGAAAGATGATTTCTAGTACTCTGTGCTTCCGTCTTAAAGATCTCTCCACAGTGAATTGTTGTACAGACATGTACAAAATGTACAAAAGATCTTTCTTGCATGGATCATCAACAGCAGCACCTGCTTGTGAACCTCACTGCTGCTCTCAAGATGCTGTGGCAGCCCCACTTACCCCCCAGTACCTGAATGACTAGATGGTCTAAAATACTATGCTAATTAAGGCTTTTTTTTTTTTCTTGTGTCAGTACAGCCATGACAACACACTAGATGGGGAGCAATATGTCACCTTCTCTGGACACTGATTTCTTCAGAAGGCATTTTCCTGCAACATGAATATTGGGTTCAGGTCTCCATTTTTAATGTGACAGAGTTCGGGAATGATGGTAAGATTTCTGCCAAAAATGACTACAGTAATCTTAATTCCATATAGGCAGCCTAATGCCTGGAGACTGACAGCAAGGAAATCTATACCGGAAATGAATTTCCATTGACAAAGCTTAATAGGTTGTCATTGACAAGGCCTTCAGTCACTTTGAAGAATTATAGGGAAAATAGGGCCATCAGTAGTTTTCAGTGTGTTGTCCTACCCTTCTTGCAGTCAGAGAGATGAGTACTCATTCAAGCTGCATTTTTCTTAGCATATTTTAACAGGTAGATCTGTCTTTGACATTCCCTTCTAGCAAAGAAAAAAAAAGATAAAAAAACTACAATGTGAATTGCAGAAAGATACCTTCAAGCGTATCATAAAGATGAGATTTCCTACTAAAGATGATCTTTAGTGAAGTTTCTGTGGTACGTGCAAACAGTGTTAATGTGAAATAAGGTCTGGATCTCTTTCAGATGCTCTCTTATCTAAAATAAGCAGACATAAATAGCTCATTCCCATTGCCACCTTCCTTCACAAGTAGTGCCACTGAAATCAGCAGTAAGGCTGGCAAAACCAGACTGCGTAATCCTGCTTTCTGAGAGAGTTTTGGTTCTGCATGATACTACGTATATCCTGCAAAGCATTGGACTTGGGGCCAATTAAGACTTTGCAGAATCAAACTGATAATTATCAGGCTTTGATTAGTGTCACCTCCTGGGAATAAAGCTTCTGTTTTAACTTTTGATCTGGTAAGTAATTTCCCTAACTTTTTCTCATTGCAGCTACTTAAATGAAGTCATTAAATAACTTTGACATACAGATTTATGATTTTCTCACACTTTATTGGAGGTGGTACTAATGGCTTTTGGGGCATATTAATTAACCCAAAGATTATTTTACCTTCTCCAGACACAAGCAAATTCTAAACCTGATTTTTAGATACATTTCTCTGCTTGCTTAAACATCTAAGTGTAACTTCCATATGTTGGTCAAAACATTTGTATGCAGTATTTGATAATTCCTACGTTTCTGTAGCATAAACTAGACAAACATACGTGCGTCTGTGTCCCTTACATAGAATCACAGAATCATAAGGGTTGGAAAAGACCACTAAGATCATCTAGTCCAACCATTAACACATCATCTCATGTCCATCACAGATGCTACCATTAGTTCTAAGGCATGACCTTCTACACTGAACATCTTGAAAAAGGCAGCAACCATACAACAGAAAAAGTCAGGCTTACAATAGTATTTTGAGGCTGGGGTAGTGTGAATGTAGGATCAGTCTTTTCGGTGCTACTGAGGTTCTCAGCAGTGGTGGCTGTGGTGAGCGAGCCATCCACAACCTGCTCCACAAACCAATACTGACTTGGCAGTATTTGCAGTTAGAAAGTTGCTGAAGTGCACATTGATCTGGCAGACACAGTGAAATTTCAGAGGTTTGGGTCTGAAACCTTTGGGGATCTCAACTTATGAATTAGGTGATTCATCTAGGAAGGAGGATAACTAGTTACTTTAAATGGAACATTCTTTTAGGAGATCATGTGGATGGGAAGTAGCTGGCACAGGAGAACATGTCATCACCAGCTTACTTTACAGCAGATAAAGACAGCAGTACATACATGTGTCACCTCACACTGTGGCTGCTCTAATGAAAAGGTCTTTAATGCCATACTTGTTGTGAGGGAGATGAACCTTTCCTAGCTTAAAATGAATCAAGTGTTTTTCTTTTTTTATTTTTGGCAAGAGAGGAATTCTAAACAACTGCACAGATACAAATTGAGCTTCTTTTGCTGCAAATAGAGAGTTTCCATCTCCAGGCCCTGCTCTCTGGCATACTTCATATGCACCAATACTATGAAAAAAAATTACCTAGAACAAAGACTTTTTTTTAAATGCAGATGCCTAATTAGCTACTGACTGTTATTTTTCTCTTAGATGTCTTTTCAGGAGATTGATGATAATGAATATTTGCTGAATCCCTCTTATCCCAAAGAACATTCATTCCAATACTTCACATCCAAAACCATAACCCACAACATACTGTTGGTTGATTTCTGCTTTCAAGTGTAGCCCCTGCCTCTGCTTTGGGGAAAGGTGCACTGATTTCTTTTGGTACTTCCATGTCTGCTTTGATTCATATGTAATTTGTGGTGGCTTTCAAGTCTTGAGCTAACTTACTTCCATGCATATTCCACAAAGCAAACAGCGTTTGTAAGCCAGTTGTACAAACTTTGAAGAGTTCTACTTCTTAAAACTGTTTGATGGACTGCAATGTATTTGTATAATAAGATATGGTGTGCACGTTGTCACAGACCATGCTTAATGGAATGGAAGTAAGTTTATAATCCCACTGTGAACATCAGCAACAGCTGTGTTTGCAGGCTACAAGTCAGAAAAATCAACTGAAGCAAAACATATGCTGCCAAAAAAAGGAAAGTTGTCTGCTGACAGTCAGCCATTGTATTGCAGTGGGAAGCAAGGAGGCACAGTATTGTATGCTTATATTGAGATGAAAACAGGGAGCCAACAGATATCTGTCTGTGTAAAAATTTTCTGGAACGTAACTGCTTTTAGCAGAGCTCCAGTTCATTCTCCTTCTCAATTACATTCGTTTAGTCTTTTTCTGCCTCTGCCAGAGACCTTTCAGTCTTCTCTGAGCACTCAGGAGTGAACTGTCACTGGACACTTAAGGAAGACAGCTCAAGCGTGTCTTCACATCTCTATTTTATCTGCCTTTGGCAATAACCTTCACATTAATTTTTCTCATAATTCTTTTTAATCATACCGCACTGACATTATAACCCTCCAAAATTTGGTAGAAAGTCTTCATATCACACTACATAGTTTCCCAGTAATTGAAATATGGTACTGAAATAGAAACTCAGGTGATAAGTGCACTGAGACATCTGAGTCTAGGAGAATATTCTTTTTCATAACATGTTTTGGCTATACAATCTCTGAAAGACAACTGATGAAGCCCCACTATCACAACAGTGGTAGCTGAACACTTTACCAAAAGGTCAGGTTTTCTGTAGAATTGTTTTTACAAACACTTTCAGCTGTTGTCACATATGTTGAGCACGCTTGGGAGAGGCTTGGCAGGACACCGGAGCTTTTTGTGCCAGATGATATGGCAGATCTCTTAAGAATGAATTATTCATAATGATGTTGCGACCTTTCAATAATATCCCCAGTTTCAAAAATAAACTTTAATCCTTTTTAATAAGTCTCCCTTGTTTATTCTGAACATCTTTTCCATTTAAGTCAAGAACAGAGAACCTAAAACTTCAATTGCTGAGGAAATTTTTTTTTTTTTTTTCTCTCATCATTCCCCAGTCTCTTTTTTCTTTTTTCATTAATAAGCTCATGAAATTAAGAAGCTATCCCATATTCCTTTCACAGAACATACCGGTAATATCACCTTCAAAGGAAAAAAGCCACTGTGGCCCTATATAACTTAACTTCCTACAGAATCTTATTAATTATACGCATTTTCCTTTTGGGAAATTATTACCCAATTCTTGCATCATAAGACAAGAAATGTAAGATGTGATAATACTGATTCATTTCTACAGATACTTTCCTTCATACAACGAAGATCTCTTTCATTCCCAATCTTCTCTCAACAGCTTAATATTCAATAGCTCTTCCATCCTCATTAGTAAACAATAGATCTTTGAATTTTACCCTCCTCTAGTAGTATTACATTTTTCAAATGTAAAAATTATCTCAGTATCCTGGTTTCTAATCTGAATTTGGATGACTTTTCTTGTTTAGGCTTCTGGATGGGTACAAAGCTTTTCTCATATTATTTCATTTTTCTTGTATTTGAATTTGTAAACAAAGGGCTTGTAAATCACCCCCCAGTATGCAGAGTATCTTTTAAATCATTGCCATGATACCTTGGGCTTCATCTAATTAAACCATACTCAAATCAGAGATGTGTTTCTGTTTTATCTTTCGTTGTATAGTGATATTCTTTTCTAGACTTCCTGGGTTGCTCATAAAATCATGCAAAAATTCTAGAAAGAATGGTGGGAGGATTTACCCTGTGAGTTTACATGCGGACTGATCCCATGCGCTGTCAGTAGAATGATGCCTTGTGATTTCAGTAGGCTTTTGATTAAACCTGATGCATTCAACTCTGTAGTTCTCTGAATTCTCAGATCAAGTCCTTCTTTTACTTCTCCTCTTCAATAGCTTAAACATGGGCAAGGGCAAAAAATGTTATTCTTTTTATAAATTCCACAGAATAGAGAACAATGAGAAAAAAAGAGAGGGAGAGAAACCCAAAACTGCTCATGTCAGACATAAAGACCTGGAGTCTGTGCTTCTCTCCTAATGTGAATACAACTCTTTCCATGGAGCTCATACTCTTAAATCTCTCTTGATTCTCAAATCAAGAGATGACTTCTGTCTTATCATACTCCTTGATGTCACTGAATCACTTAGGTAAAACAGCTTCACATCCTCTTGAGATGTGAATGTACATATACCTCATCTCTCAAGACACTGAATCAGTCTGTGATCAAGAGAAATTACGATGTCATTTGAAATACATACAGCTTTCTACTTATCATCACAGAGTGAATTTAAATAAAGATTTTTTGTCCGAAATGGAGAGCATTATTTCTTACAGTCCTATTCCAGACACAGCTAAAGAAAACAGTGCTAGTTCTTGATTCTGACTGGGACTTGTAGCTGGCCTCAGAAACTTGAATACTGCAATGTTGAATATTTGGTACCTATCTATGAGGCACCTTCCTACTTAGTGTATTTCATGGTGTTCAGGCATCATACAAGGCTTGGGTAGTGTTTGATGCTGATGAACAAGAATCACAGATGTCCACATGCTGTGCAGAGAGCTCTTGAACTTATTCAGTGAAATGCTATGAGGGGAAGGCTTAAACTCTCTGACCCCTTAGCAATCCTCAACATTTACTGCCGTATATTCATGCCTTGCAATGCTTCTTATTCCCTTTTTCATAATCTAGGGACAAAAGTGTTACTGCATCTCAAGTTGTGCTCCTTTGATAATCTTCCATTTTGCCTGGGTAACCTCAAGATCTCTAATGACACACAAGATTTTTGCATTTACATGACATGAAGGTTCAGATCAGACAGATAATAGGTGTGACCATGGCCCTTGCAGATTTTATTGGTACCATAATCTCTCTCCTGATGGTTGAACTGCTCTTCTGCTGCACTGGGAGAAGGGAACATCCAGTTCTAGTTTTAGGATCACAGGTTGAAGTCAGCTTCCTGAGAAGGTTAAGCTAAGAACTCAGATTTCTCCTGACCATGGTCCTCTTCATCTTGGGTAAAGTCTTTACCTACTAACACTTAAATAAAGAGATAAAACATCATTCTTTCTAGTTACCTTCTTTGAGAATCTTCTTTCCAGCATTTGGAAGATGTGGACCTTTACTGGTCATGGTCAAAAAAATCATGAATCATTATGCCTTCAGTTTTGGAAACTTTGTTGTCAAGCCTACATGCCTCAAAACCTTCCATTTCAATGACTTTTTTTTAACTTTTTTTTAAAGAAGGAAAAAGCCCTGCAAAACTGCTTAAAGCAGAATTGTTCCTAGTATCAAAATTCTGTGTGGTATAAATATCAGCACAAGCATCTGCATTATTCATATATATGCTTAAAAGAGGAGTGGAGACATATTCATTCAAGAGCCTGTGATACTTGTATAACACATATCTCCTCTTGGATTTCATGTATTATTCCCCCTTG